GGGGTGGACCCTGCAGCACGGGGAAAAGTTTGGGGGTCCATTCTGCCTGGAACAAAACAAAACAAAAATCCCTATTTAAAAAAAAAAAAAATTTAAAAAAATTGTTATTTTTAAGCCTACATCATGATTTAAATATTCCTCCCCCTGTGGAAAACGGACGGGCAAAAGCTCATTTGTCAAGGAGGGTTTTTTTTAAGCCAAGCGGTGCCAGCCTCCCTTGGAAAGTTTTTTTCTCCAGCAAAGGAAGGAACGGCTCAGTTTTGGGGCAGGGGACTGCCGGTGTGCAGGGATGGGGGGCAGCCCCTGGCTGGAGGTGAGGAGTGGTTCTGTAGGATAATATAAGAAATATTCTTATACTCCTATACATGTGTATTGACTAACTTTAGCTAGGAAGAAGCGGCATGAGGATAATAGGATTTTAGTCTGGCTGAGGCCCACTTTGCTGGCTCTGCTTTGCTAGAGGAGGCATAGATAAGAAGTTACTGAATCACCCTACTCAGACCGACTTGACGAGTCAGGCTTTGTGAAACCAGGTGCACAGGAGCCTGAAAGACTACACAGCTTAAGTGACTGTTCCTCAGACCACTGGAAGACCATTCCGCATGCTAATCGGGCGTGCACAATTACTATGCAGATATTTTAACTAATTACGGGAAATTTAGTGTAGATGTAAACTTTTTACTGGAAATGTAATACATAATGTAGACTTTTTATGTCATGAATATGTCTGTGTAAGGCACATATAAGCTACTGGCAACAGCTAATACTTGGCGCATACGATTATGAAATGACACATGTATGCTCCCAGCGCTGAATTAAAGAATGTCTTGCTTTCTAACTCCTACAAACCAGTCTTAGAAAGTTATTGAGCTGATATTTCGGTAACAGTTCCCCATCTTATGCCTGCATTGTTAAATTAATACGGACGTTCAAAGTTGGGGGGTGAGCTGAGCCGCTCTGTTCCAGGCAGCGACTACTGAAGACGACTGATCCAGGCTTGTTTTCTGCACCGCAGCAGAAGAAAGCGCAGTTTGTGTCTCCACTGACGCTGGTGTCTCATATATGAATAAGATCTTTCACTTAATGTGCATGGCTGTAATGCCTTTGTAACTATTTAAACCTACTGAAACTAAATAGACAAACTTTATGTATATCTAGAAATGTGTCCATCTTTGCATGAATCCTTGGGAAAAGACCTGTGGCAGGGGCAGCTGTGGTGTAGGACTTTGCCTGAAGTGTTTGTACCCCAGAGTTCTGAAGATTTCTCATCTTTAGGTGAATTTAAAATGGAAACTGTTAATCAATTTGTATTTGTAGTGAAGACTGCATTATGATAGAAGATTTAACGTCATTAAATGTAGTCTGACTGTATTTTGTATCCTGAATGTATATTTTATACATATTTAATAGTAGGTGATCCTGTTTCTTCTGCTGTGTAACTGTCTGTCCCATTCTTTTAATAATAAAAAAATGTTCACTGTGAAAACTATGTTAAGATCAGAAAAACCACTGCTTAAACGAGTGTTTTATTTTCTAGGAAGGACTGTAAAGAGAGCTGAGAATGAGATGGACTTCCCAGGAAAGACCTGAAGCTCTTGGTGTACACATCATCTGTGATGCTGATGAGCACAGCCTCAGAGGATGGATATGAATATGGACTGGGACTCTGATACTTGTGACACAGGTGAGAAGCATACAAATTATTCCAGACAGACCACTAAGCAGGTGGGCCACACATCCAACCTCCAGAAGGAGGTAGACATGAATTACTCGCAGTCATGCAGCCCTCGTTGCAGCTCTGCTGGACCTTCAGGTAAGCAGGAGCTTCCTGCAGGGTTGCAATGTGAAGACAAAGAAACCTATGAGACCTATTACCAGAAACGAGGTGCGAGTACAGCTGGGGTATTTGTCCCCTCTGGTACCAACTTTGCCCTGCAGTGTGAAGATAAAGATTTAAAGCTCTGTTGCTCTGCGCGGTCCTGGAAACCAGGGAGAAGACTTCACGATGCTAATGAAAATTCCCTTCTTGCTGATGTGTTTGGTGAGGACCTAGAGCCAGAGGAAACTTTGCCATATCAGTGCAAGAAGTGTGGCTCCTCTTTCCGGGATGTGAGCGAGCTGCAGGCACATAAACGAACTCACCTTGTGGAAAACTCATACCGGTGTCCCGTCTGTGCCAAAGAGTTCTTCCGTGCGGCAAATTTGCGAATGCACAAGCTCATTCATTCCAGTGACAGACCACACAAATGTCCAGAGTGTGACAAGGGTTTCATTCGCACGGCGGATGTCTGGAGGCACCTACGCAGCGTGCACAAGATAGAGCGCTCCATGGTGATCCTGGGAAACGGCATGGCGAGGAACCCATGGTCGACGGCGCGCCGTAACCAACGCGCTGTTGAGTACGTCAGTCAGCCTTGTGCCGAAAACCAAAAGTCTGAGGAAGACGACTGTAAGCCTTACGCCTGTCCAACGTGTGGCAAAGGTTTCAATAAGCCCAACCTGCTTTCCAAACACAAGGTGATCCACCGAGAAGACAAGCCCTACAAGTGTCAGGAATGTGGCATGGCATTCGTCCAGCTGCTCAGGCTGAAGAGGCACCAGCAGACTCACTCCGGGGAACGCCCCTTCTACTGCCAGGAGTGCGGGGGCACGTTCACCCGACTGGCGTCGCTCCAGCGCCATCACCGCATCCACACTGGTGAGAAGCCCTACTCTTGCAGTTACTGCGGTCATTCCTTCACTGAGTCAGGTACCCTACGGAGGCACGAGCGCACGCACAAACTGGACAGATCTTAATTTGTTTGTGATTGTTGTTTTCTTACCTGAATGAGGGTCGGCTTAGTTGGGCTGGAGAAAGCACTCCACTGCAAGTGCTCTGGCCAGTCCAGACCCGCTTCCCAGCAGTGGTGGACAGGGAACGCTGCATCACGGGGATCTTTGGAACTTGTATTGGTAGACGCTGCACTCACTGGCTTTAAACTGGCTTTGTATGAAAAGATAAACTAATTACCACTGAGAAATGAAATGTGAGACTCGGGAAGACTGAAATCACTCACGTGAGCTAGCACTGTCTCGATTCTCTGAACTGATGATGCATCAGCTTGAGTTTTTTGCAAGGATGCATGGGCGATGAAACTTTTCTCCGCAGTCTTGGTCATTGGATAAATAGGCCCTGCCTCTCGAGTGTGATGGCTCTTTGGCACTGGGTTTGGACATCTGTTGTTGCAGGTCTTTGCTAAATCAGAACAGTCCAGATTTGCCCCTCGGTCCCTTCTCTCCTTGTATTCTGCTGCGCTTTTCTTTCCATTACTTTTTGATTTGGAGGGAAAGGATCATTTTTGTTATTTAAATTAAAAAAACCCAAACCAACCACAAAACAGTTCTTTAATGAACTCAGCAGTTACCAGCTGTATTTCTTAAATGTTTCTGTCTAAGGGAGTACCAATCCCTTGCGCACTTCTGTGTGATTAGTTGAATGTCTGTTAATAGTGGAAAGAGCGTTTTATTTTTGCTATGGTGGTGCATGTTCTTGGGGTGAGGGATTTGAATACACTTGTGTCTCTGATAGAACCATGCACTCTGAATCTCTCCAGCTGAGTATTACAGTAGCAAATACTTGAGAGCACAACATGCAGACAGCAGGAGAAAGACCAAGTTTAAGCCACCATTGCTACTCATCGCATAGGAGTCATGTTCATTTAAACCTTTTCGCACATAAGGAAGCTTCTCATAACAAAACAGTGTTTTCCGTTCTGTGGCGTGTTTGAGTACTACCCAAAGTGGCTGCTGGACTCTTCACTTTGCTTTAGGTTCAAATGGTTAGTGAAGAAAAATTCCCCTTAGAAACCAGCCCTGCAGACTGAGGTAGGTGCTGCTAAATACCCCAAGGCTGTAATTCCTGAGGAGGAATTGTTGCCTCAGTTATGGCAGTGGGGTTTTTATCTTTGAAACTTAATAATGGCAATGCACTGTTAACCACTGTGGTAGAAGCATCTAGTTTGTCCTTAAGGTGTAGCCCTGATTTCCTTTCTGGGTCAGAAAGCTCTGCTTCCTTTCCCCTGCCAGCTGCCATAATTTCACTCATTTCTTCCTAATGCCTTCTGCCTTTTCAACAGGAAGTTGAACAGCAGAGTGAGAGAAAAGCTTCGGGGTAATGTACCTTTGCATTTACTACCTGGCTGTTTAAGTAAAGCACAGATTGTGCCATTTGTTTGCATTTTTCAGAGTAAAAAATGACTGTTACATTCCCCTGCATTTCTGTGCAGCGATGAGGTTCAAGCTCTGTGTCTCAGTACCTGGGCTAAATGTGATGCTGTTTGTGGGTGATGGCTGCTCAGCATTTCCACCTATGCATCAGCAGGGGTTTTACAGCTGTGGGTGCTGTAGTGTTTGATGTGAGGTCCATGGCTCAGATCAAGCTGGATCACTGATCTCAGCAACATTTCGGCTTGATTGTGAATGGGAGACCAATTCACCCGGCCTCACCAATGGGTCATTTTAATTTAATTCCTTGAGGAAGTCTCCAGATTAGGGAATGGATCAGCATCCCGCTTCTTAGGGATGTGTTATGTTGTCTCTGAAATTATGTACTTTTGTTAGACAGATATCTCTGCCGGGATGGCTCTGGACCCTGCACTACAGCTGTGAGTGAGACTTCTCCAAACTCCCCTCTGCAGGTAGTTCCAGTATGGCTTTAGGTTTCTGAAGGGCTTTTGACGGGGCTCCTTAGCAAAGGGTCATTCTTTTCCGAGAGCTGCTTACTTTCTCTAAGAGGAAAGATTTTTGCATGGAAAAAATCCTGGCTGAAAGGAGACGGGTGGGTAAATGATTTGCAGAGAGAGGTTATCAGTGCTGTTCCGTGGGCACTGTGCTGTTCAATACAATCCGAAATGACCAGGACAGAGGGCAGGTAACAAGGAGATAAAGCTGTTCCAGAAGCTGTTATGCATTAAGTTTCCACCTTCATCTTCTAAACCCATTTTGAAATTGTCAGCTACAGTCTCCCCTTTTCAGCATCCTGCTTCTCCCTTGGGTATGCGGGGTTCTTGCCGTAGGGGGTTTTAATAGCCAATTAAACTGCACCACTGTGCACACCTTTATGTTGTGTGACTGTTCTGCTTGGACAGTTGCAGTAATTGGGAACAGCTACTTATTCTGCTTTTTGGTGGTAGCAGTTGGTAGAATTTGTACCTGTAAGAGCATTATGGTGGGAGTGTTTTGAACAAAGGCCTGTTTAATGGGAAGAGTAAATGGCTGGTGAAATGAGAACTACTAGGCTTAACTAAAAGGTTATTAAAAGGATACTTGCATAGAAAGTACTTGGATGTGTAAAAGGAGTAATTTAAATGTGTGGTGGTTTCTGGGAAAAGTGTGTTGAACCCTGTTCAAAGAAACTTCCACTAACTCCTGCGCCAGCCTTGTGAAATCCCTTGGAGCTTAATTTAACCTGGAGATCGTCACTTCTGCACTTCACATTTTTAATATAAAGGTTTGGAAATCTCTCCTGGGCCCTGACACTCTCACAGTGTCAGTCTGAGTTGCTGCTGGCCTCCAACAGATGTAGCCAGTCACGGTATCTTGTCTGAAACAGGAAGGGAGTTAGTGGGCAAATATACCTGCTCTGCAGCATTGCTTCATTAGAGAAGTTTTGAAGTGTGTGGTTTCAGCAGAAGTCATTTTTCTTCCTTCAGAGTAGCCAGGGTATCTGATAGCTCATTTGCTTCTGCAAAGGCCACTGAAGAAGTCGTTCCCTTTGATGCTGTGCTGTGCAGAGGACTCGCTCGCAAGCCCTCATCACTGGGGTATTACGGGAAGCACTTGGACACAGGCACAGGGCTGGAGCCTGGAGCTAGGTAGGGGATCCTGATTGTGTGAGTACTTTCGGTTGCTGGGTGGTGTTTATGAACAGTGGAATGCAGAAATACCCTTTGCTCTTTGCTGATTTTCCTGTCCCCTCACTACGTAGCTTCTGCCCAACTCATTTCCATCACAGGAAAATTGTCTCAAGACTCGGAATAACTCTGGCACTGCGGGCTCCTGGCCCTCACTGACGGGGAATCACCGGCCAGTCCTCGGCAGCTACAGTACTGTTTTCTTACTTTGTTAACAAAGGTGTTGCGTGGTAAATACACCTGTCCTTGTGGAGTGTAGATTGCACCTTGCACAAAGGAAGAGCTGCTCTAGTACAGTCTTTCTTCTCTGCATACCACCATCCTCTTCCACTGTTTGCCTTCTCCTGGCGTGGAGTAGTCTGGAGCAGGAGTCTTTGATGTAAAGAGGGAGGACTCAGCAATCCATCATTTGTCAATTAATCTGAGCAGAGGGCATTGAAATCTCTGGAGTAGGAAGCTTTTATTTAAATTGAGGCTTCATCTTGTGATGATCTGCCTCTGATCTTGTGAAGTTTCTATTGGCATAAGGAGCTCCCACTGCAGTTTTCCTACTTGCAGACTGAAAGCGAGCAGGGGCTGAGATCTCTCTAACAGAATGGCAGATGAATAGCATTTCACTAGGATAACATACTGGAAGTGGAAAGGAAAAGAGTGGTTTCATTTTGGTGATCCCAGCTGTGAGAAGTTTAAAAACTGTGGGCCTGTGCAAGGCTCGAGTCATCATAAAAGAGCAACCGCTGAATGGGAGGTAGCCCATGAAGCAGGTAGTACAGGTCTGCAGCAGAGCACAGCCCACCTGTAAATTCACTGGAGGATGCTGCTGAACTGTCCCCCCTTCCTGAGAATGTCGTTTCCTGAGCAGAGTGTGCTCACATGAATGTGCTTGTGCAGTTTATGTACTGGCTTCCCTCTTGTTTATCTGCTAAAAGCAAACATCAGAGCTATCAGCTCCTTTTCTCGTTAAGGATTTTATCTTAATTGTTGCTTACGTGCCTCAAAGCTGAAAGCAGTAGTGATTTGTTCTGCTCAGTTCTGTTTCTGTACAAGCTACCAGCACACATTTTGGTGGCTGCAAGCATCGTGTTGTGGGCAAAAAGGATGCCCATCCTAAAACCACGCAGAGCCCTGTTCTCCCTTCCAGAAAGTCAGTGCTAAATGCCAGCCCAGGGCATATTCAGCTTTGCTCTGCATAAGAGAGACTAAAATCTGGGGATACTCTACCTTGAGAAACATCAGAAACCTTTCTATGCCAAAAACCTCCTGGCATAGCAGGAGGGGTGGAAGGAAGGGCCAGAGGCAGGGGTGCCCTTGCGTGATGGGCTGAAGCGTAAGCCACGCATGGCTGCTGGAGGTAATGTTGAGGGCAAGGTTGGCTTGGAATTGTGTCAAAAAGCATGAGGTTCATGTGAAGAGCATCCTGGGACTCAGATCCTGCCCAGACTGGCTTCTGGTGAGTGGGCATTTACTGAATGTCACTCTTCTCTTTTGGCTGATGAGAAAGGTGGAATGGCCTTTCTGTTTTCTCATACGTGCCAGGGCCCTTACTACACAGAATCCCAGAATCCCAGACCGTTAGGGATTGGAAGGGCCCTCCAAAGCTCATCCAGTCCAACCCCCCTGCCGGAGCAGGAACACCCAGATGAGGTTACACAGGAAGGCGTCCAGGCGGGGTTTGAATGTCTGCAGAGAAGGAGACTCCACAACCTCTCTGGGCAGCCTGGGCCAGTGCTCTGGCACCCTCACTGAGAAGAAGTTTCTTCTCAGATTGAAGTGGAACCTCCTGTGTTCCAGTTTGTGCCCATTACCCCTTGTCTTATCATTGTTTGTCACCGAGAAGAGCCTGGCTCCATCCTCGTGACGCTCACCCTTTATATATTTATAACCATGAATGAGGTCTCCCCTCAG